GGGCGGAGTGGGGGACTCTCCGGGCGCTGACATTTGCAGGCTGCCCTCCTGATTGGTCCCCTCGCCGAGCTGCTCACGGGTTCATTCAACTGTTAAGCACCTCCCCGTCTCTCTAAAGGACATTATAATGCAAGAAGCCCCCTTTTTAACCACAAACCGAATTTTCTTTCATTTAGGTGATCTATATATATCTATATCGTATAGCTTATAGCTTATATCTATTTTAAATAACTTAAAGCCGCTAAAATTTGGGGGGGAACAGCTTTCGCCCTGGAGCGGTGCGCGATGCTGTCTCACGCCGACCTCCTGGACGCCAGGCTAGGTGAGTGCGCGTCTCGTGCCCCGGCAGGCAGGAGAAGCCCGGGCAGGAAATTGTCAATTTGTTCCTTATTTTACCTTAATGCGCCCTAAATGGACTAATTTCTTTAAAAGTAATTGTTCTGTATTAAAGTTTAATTTGATTTAACATCCTCTTTAAAAAAAAATCTATGGAATATGTAGAACCAAAAAAGGAGTTAGGGAATGTTGCTACTTTTTAGTTTTCTTAGCTTTTCTCTCCCCTCCTCTTTATTTATTTTTTTCTGAAAGGCGATCTGCCCTGTGGTAATTTGTTTAGGGGTGTTTCTTTTTCTTTTTCTCTCCCTTTTGCTCGGATTTGGGATTTCCTTCCTCTCTTTCTCCCCTTTTCTTTCTCTCTTCCCACTACCTGCTTCTCTCCTCCTCCTCCTCTAAGTAAGATTGAATTTGTTTTTTAAAAAAGGTGTCTTTAAGAAGGACCTGCTACCATCGGGGCAAATTTGCTAAGTGTGCTGGTTGAGAAGGAGAAAAGCCCACTTCTACCTCACAGGCATCACTACCTTCTGCAAGAGACACGGCCTTTCCAATGGCTGAGCAGAACGCGCCTTTTATTTCTTCTAAAAGTTGAATCTTCTCAAGTTTGACTCGCTGTCTTGTCTAAGGAGTTTACTGGAGTTTAACGCCATCTGGGTTGCTGGGCACAGGGTTTCCGGTTTGGGAATCTTTAGTGATGGATGTGACTCCATTTCCCAAACACTTTCTCTGAATTCAGGGGGAGGCGGAGCTGATTTGGGTTGATTGGGGGGGGTAAGATTTGGAGACTTATTCATCTTCTAAAGTGAAAGGAAATCGGGCCAGAGGTAGAGTTCAGCAGTCTGCCTAAATTCAGGTGGGGCAGCGGCCGAGGAAGCGTTTAATTTTCTTTCTCTCCCTCCACTCCTCGGGTTTAAGGATTTGTTTTCGATTTCCTGGGGGCTTCCGGGGTACAGGTTTTGAAAGGGCATCTGAGGCATCTTTTATTGGTGGGCCTGAGAGTGTTTTATTGCGGGAGAAAAGAAAGCCTGTTCTTGTATCTTACCGGAGCCCCCTGCGGAGAGAGGGAAAAGGGCCCGGAGGTGTTGCTGAGGCGCTGCTGTCGGAATCCTGGGGAAGCCGGCCTTGCGCCCTGGTAATTTCGACCTTGGGGAGAGCGTGGGCCCGGAGAAAGCCGAGGATGGGGCCGAAGGAGGACGCGCCGGGAAGATAGCATCTCAGTAATGATCACAACCCCCTTGCCTCTTCAGGTATGAAAGATGCCGCCGAGCTGCTGGGCCACCGGGAGGCGGTGAAGTGTAGGCTGGGAGTGGGGGGCTCCGACCCCGGGGGCCATCCAGGGGACCTGGCGCCCAACTCGGACCCAGTCGAGGGAGCCACTCTGCTGCCCGGGGAGGACATCACTACCGTGGGCTCCACCCCGGCTTCGCTGGCGGTAAGCGCCAAAGACCCGGACAAGCAGCCCGGGCCCCAGGGCGGCCCGAACCCCAGTCAAGCCGGCCAGCAGCAGGGCCAACAGAAGCAGAAGCGCCACCGGACGCGCTTCACCCCCGCGCAGCTCAACGAGTTGGAGAGGAGCTTTGCCAAGACCCACTACCCCGACATCTTCATGCGCGAGGAGCTGGCGCTGCGCATCGGGCTGACCGAGTCCCGAGTGCAGGTACGCGGGGCTTGGGCGCTGAGATCCAAAGCGAGGAGGAGGCGGGAGGATGTATGCGAAGGGAGCCGGGCATTTCATTCCCCTCCCAGGAACCTGGCTACTCTCCGGCCACTTTTGCACTGTTGGGTCAAGCTAGCTACTTTTCCGCCCCGACTCTAGCCCCGATCGCCAATCCCCAGTGGCCTCTCAAGGCCCATCTCTCACCAGTGCAGTCACAACCCCGCGGAAACTCCTTACAGCAAAGTCCGAATTGTCTTGCCCTGTGGGTCCGACTTCTCTGCAGAGACAACTCCGCGTATCCGAGGCTGCTGGGCCCGGCGCGCTCCCCAACTCCAGCTCACAGTATTGACAAGTATTTTATTGCCTGGAATGAGCTTGTGTGAAGCATTTGGGTAAAGGGGGGAATATAACAATCGTACCGAAAACTCAACGAGAAGAAATGAGGCGAAATGAGCGCCTTTTAAAAAAGCTACATACCCATTTCGCCGCGTGATTTTATTTCCCTAAAAAAAATACCGTTCTCTTACCACTCTCAGGCGAAATACCCCTAGCTTTGATATTTGCAAGAGGTTTGCACCTTGGTGGTCTACCGGTTCCCTAGAAATGGCCCTGCCCTCAAAGCCTGTGAGCCCTGGATTTTTTGTTTGTTTGTTTAAAATCTTTTAGATTTTCCCAAGGAAACTGGGAGGTAGGGGAAGGGCGGAAAAACGAAGGCTTTTTATTGTAGATATCCGACCCACAGAACGAACACTTAGGGTGGGAAAGGTTGATTGGCAGTAACAAGTCAGTCTTAACCCCTTATTTGTACAGAACCGCCCTCCAAGTTGTAAATTATATGCAGTGTATCTAGAGAATTAGATATATAACTTTTCTGAAACTTAAGGAATAAAATAATAAGCCCGATTAACCCCAGGTTTTTAATGCTTTCTAAAGAACTGAAATAACATCAAATATTTTGCGGACTTGTGCCTGAGTGAAATTCTAAGCGCGCTTTGTTTTGAGCTATCCAGGGTGCTGAAAAACGCCCTTCTCTATCTTGGGACGCTGGTATTTTCAGTCCCACATCCTGGGTGTCAGTCTAACTATAGTACCTAAAACCACTGCCACCTGCTTTTATAAATTAACTGTAAAGATCTCAGTTACTTTACATTTGATCTAAAAAGTGAACGATGAGGGTGTCCATAATCATAATGTTGAATATTTCCATTACCACTTGACATTTTAAAGATAGTCTATATGGGGAAAAGTGACACAATCTTCTGTTCTAATAGTAAATGAATATCACTGGGGACTTAAAGTGGCCAAATTAATAAAGCAATATTCAGGGCATACTATAATAACTAACGTTTTTGTTCAATATAGGTCTGGGTGGTTTTGTTAGTGAACTCTGAAAGGCCTGAACCATGGGCTGTTGAAATTACACACCAAACGACTGTTAACTGTATTGTGCTTATATCTTCTGTTCTAATAGTAAATGAATATCACTGGGGACTTAAAGTGGCCAAATTAATAAAGCAATATTCAGGGCATACTATAATAACTAACGTTTTTGTTCAATATAGGTCTGGGTGGTTTTGTTAGTGAACTCTGAAAGGCCTGAACCATGGGCTGTTGAAATTACACACCAAACGACTGTTAACTGTATTGTGCTTATATATCATATAAACCTGCAGTTGAGCTCAAACTTTTATAGAAATATACAATTCCAATACTATGCTAATTATAATACTTGATTGTAGGTTCAACGTTGGAGGCTGAAAATTCATAAAATTTGCTTTTTGTCCAAGAGAAATACAACTATTAATTTTTGTTTTAAAAAATTAAATGCTGTGTCTTAACCCAAATATACTGGTAATTAGTTCAAATTAAAATTGAACTTAGAATCACAAATAAAATATAATTGGACAACTGATTTTATGAAAAAAGAAAATGAGGTTTATTAAACTTTATTAGGTCTTCCAAAGGTTAGTGACAGTGATTCTTTCAATGGAAAAAGTTGTAAATGAAATAAAATATAAACTATATGATAGAAATAGTTTTTTTTTGCAAAAAGTACACAAAAATATGGGAGAAGAAAGAGACAATGTACTTTAATTGTTCTAGAATAATGTTCAACCAAAGATAATAGCTTGAGGCTGTTGATAGAAACAATTTAATAGAATGGCAATTCCAATATTTTTAAAAATAATGTTTCATATCTTAAAAAGTAATCAAATCAACATAACCTTCTTAATTAACATTTCAAAATGATTAACATTATGTAATGTAATGCAAAAATAATTTATGGAAAATGTATTTACTTCACAATTCACTGTACTATTGCTCCTTGACCAAATTCAAATTAAATAGTAATTGGTTTATGTTGGTATCTGATAAGTACTTCATAGTTTTCTTTACAGTTAACAGATTGCCACACATTCTTTTCAGTATGTGGGCCACTGCACTGATTAAGAATGATCTAAGCATTTAATTTATTTCAACTGTATGTTTTCAGAGATGTTTTTTGATTCTAGGCTAAATTATCCAGTATACTTATTTTGATCTATATCTATTATATATCACACTTTTAAGTATTTATTAAAGCACCTCTACTCACATGGAGGCTGATTCCATGTCGGATATTGCTCCCCTTTTCTGGCTAGTGTAATAAAACCATTCCTTTTATAGCATGCCATTATTAGAAACCAATTTCAGAATTATTTATAACCTGGAATGGCTTATTAAGCAGCAATGCGAGAATCATGCAAATTATGCGATCAAATGCAATATAATAAGCATAATCATTAGTCTCTAGCATGGATTAATTAACTTTCAATATTTTATTTACATAAAAACCAAATCAGTGAAATAACTTCTGCACAGTCAGGCTTGCCTTTCAATATTTTATACGAACAAAAATAATGTGCTGTAATTCCACTGACCATGTCCCCCAGAATGGCCCTGTCACCTGCCACATCTTAATAGGGGGACAAGCTGAGAGTATTTTCTAGTTTTCTAATGGAATGAGAAATTGCATTTTCTCCCTCTCCCAGCACTATTAAAGTGTAATGAATTCGGCCCAGAGTTCACGGCTGGCTGATCGAAATGAACCTGAGATCTAGGCTTTAATACAGCTCCCCAGATTTCCTCCCAAATCTTCACATTAATCATTTGCTGGATTCCAATGAGATCTTCATAAAGGGCTTGCTTTGAGGGGGAAAAAGTAATATTCTTTCTTTCTCCCTTCTTTCTCTATTTCTGAGCCATTTATAGCTGGGGAATTAAATGGGCTATATATTTTAAAATACATTTACAGTATGTCTATATTACTGTAACAGCAGATATCATGAAAGTGGATTTTTAGATTCCAACCTCCATTAGATTCTCACTGTTGTATTAAGCATTTTCCAAGAAGGGATGCATTTCAAACTGAGTACAAAGTTGGCCTGTGGCTGCGGTTAATATATCTACTGGAGTTGTCATCTGTGCGTTCTGAAAATCTCCCTTAGGTTTTGCCTGCATTTTAATCTGTCATGCTCTAGTTTTCAAGTGGAAACATTCACATTTTAAAAACATATGCATCGTAGCTTGGAACCGAGGTGCTCAGATCCCATGCAGATTTTTTCCCCAACCCCAGTAAACCATGAAACATTAAAAAAAGAAGTGTAGCCATCATTTGACTACTAACCCTCAAACACAATTGAGCACATTTTTTTATTATTTCTACAATATTCAGTTCTCTAACAGCTGTTCTTTTCCACCTGTGTCTGAGCATGTCCTAGAATCAGAAACCTTCAAGGCAGTGATGTTTGCTATTGAAATTCTATTGGGCATTTTCTGCACTTTTCTTCTGCTCCTCTCTCCACTCCTTCCACCATCTCAGGCCCTCCAAGCAACCTAACATTTTAGGATTCACTGGCACTTTCAATGTGTTAGAAAGTGGACTTGATTTTATAAGATACATTTCAAAAATATATCCAGTGCTGCATGGGACACGTGGGGACATGTGAACCCATAGTTTTCTGTTAAGAACTCCATCCTGTCCAACTCCCCAGCATTCGGTGGGCACAGCAAAAGGGACTTGCAGAGGTTTCTTCATCTCTTCTCAGAGGTTGCTAACAGCTCAATCCCACCCCACTGATCACATCCACCATCAAAGGCCCTGTTTGCCTAATTAGTTGGCCATACCACCAGCTCTGAGCTGCAACAAGGAAGGCACAAGGTGCATTTACCCACTGCCAACACTTGGGTGGCAGCAATGCAGGAAATGGGATGGCAAGCAGAGAAAAGTGAAGTGTGGGTGAGGGTGCAGGTAAGGCAGGAAGACCAAAGTAGGCTCAGAGATAATTCTACATTGTAATACCTTTCACACTGGTTGGCAGAGAGTTTGTCTTCGCACATGTTTGGCTTTCTGAGAAGGAGAACAGGGGTATCCATATTCTGATATTTTAGATTGTAAACATTACTGGGTTAAAGGACATGAATCACCATCACCGTTTGGGCTACAAATACAGTGGTCAAATCCCAGCTGACCAAATTCTAAGGGGAATCTCAATCAGTATCTGAGGTGTGTCCCACACCATTTATATTTAGGCACAGCAAGCCTTCAGCTGACTAGATTTTAAACTGCAAGCCTGCCAAGTAAGCATGCTGGTGATTTTTTCCTCCTTAAAGATCAAATTCAAATAGGTAGAAATGGGAAGTTATTTTGATCTGGCAACTTATTTTATATCTTCCACACAGAACTACTCCCCTGTGGTTGTGAATTTGACATTTACAGGAAAATTGCCCTAGTCAAGTCTGATTTTCCTGGGCCAGTGTTGAGGACCAAAGAGCAGGAAGTTTATTTTCATTTGGAGTATATTTTATCAAACACACCTCCCTGAAAAAGGCATCTAGTATTTAAGCAAAATTAAATTTGTTTCATAACTCGTGCAAGTTTTAAAATTGATTGCCTTTCATTTGTATTGACCAGAAATTTTACTATTAGGTTATAAGTTAAAGGGGAAGGGTCACTTGAGAGTATGAGAGGCCTTGTTACTTGGAGACCTCAGTAAGTCACTGAAAGGAATGGGCTTGAAGGCACCCAGCAGCGGTTTGCAGCACACCCGCTTAAACTCGGAGGAAGATGCCCTAGGAGAGGTTGGGGAATCCGGTAGAAGACCTGTAGCTGAACGAAGTGCTATGGGAGGAATCGGAAGTCACTTTGGTGGCCCAACAATGTAGCTCTGTGCTGCTCACTTGCCCACACCGATCACTGTATTAACCTCTCTGCTCTGTCAACCGTGGTATTAGGGGTTTTCTTTGTCTTTCAATTTTGAAACTGGCTTTGTCATCCACCGTCCTTTGTCAACTTCCAAATTTCCAGCGTTTCTGAAAATTCTATACCCTATGCTATAAGACATGCTATTAAGCCACATGGGTACACATGTTTATCTTCATTTGTACACCTGTGGGCCGCGTGCCTTGACACATGCCCGCCTGCAGACCTGTGCATCTGTGGAGTGCACGGAAAAAGCCGGTGTGCAGGGGCGTGGTGCGCACTGCACACCGCGGTGATACTGCACTGTGCGTGGGCGCCCCAGGGCACGATCACTCCGCAGTTTGGGGTGTGCGCTGAGTGAGGGTGAACAGCCGGTGGAGAACTCGATTCTCTGGATGGGTGTGGGGAGCGTCCAGCCGAGGGCACTGGGGTCCCCTCCCCAGGCTCCCGCGGCCGCCGAGCTCGCTAACAGCGACTTGTCTCGTTTTCGCCCTGCCCGATCCAGGTCTGGTTCCAGAACCGGCGCGCCAAGTGGAAGAAGCGCAAGAAGACCACCAACGTATTCCGCGCGCCCGGCACGCTGCTGCCCACGCCAGGCCTGCCTCAGTTTCCCTCCGCCGC